AGATAAACAATCAGAGGTTTTGGCTTTCATACCATGGGCCTGTTATCATTCTGGAGAAGGTCTGGCTTATTTCAACAGTGTACTGTACTAAAGAAATAATTTAACTGCCCAGAATACTGAATATTTGCCATCATTATAGAAGTTTGAGCTATGTAATTCCAGTACATGCTGCTCTACTAAATTAGACCTCTCCTGTCTAGTGTCCAATTTTGAGTCAAAATGCATTGCCTTCCAAAATGCTTTCAGTAAATGTGGACAATTAAGGAAATATACAGTAGATTAAATAGCCTCAAGATTAAAAAAAATCTATGCTATATGCAAACCTTATTTATGCTTGCAGTCTAGCAGAAAAAATAGACTAGCCATTTTTTGCAATATGGGAAAGGGGAGATATCTCTTTGGGCAGAGGTACAAAGATTTCCATCCTCATTTTTGCCTTTCTGGCAGCAGCCAACAAATGTAGAGAATTGGAACATTCAGAATTCACTTCATACAATCTATCCATCTGATGTAGTGAGCTGTTATCAGACTCCTCATGATTTTTATGGGACACCAAATATCACCCTCAGGTGTGATGACCCAAGTGCAGTTTTTTTCTGTATTTATAGTGCCACATGTTCATGAGCATGTTTTTTTTTAATTCACTCCTTACATTTTCAGTACTCTCATTGAACAAAATGTCTAGGTAAACATTGGCACTTCACTTGAATGCCGAGAAATGGATGGAGCACCTTTTGGAAATAGCCTGGCACAGTTCTGATAGCCAATTTTTAATATTGAAATTTTGCAAAATTTAGCACTAGTTATGGTTTGTGTGAAAACAAAGATGATAGTTTAGGAGTTTTAAGCATTTTTTTTTCATTTATCTTTCTGCTTATAAAACACTCAAATTTGATTATTATTAAAATTCCTGACCAGCTTTATGGGAATTGCAGATAACTTATCAAATTTTCATATCCTGAAAGCATCAAAGTCTTTGGCTCTCTTGCACGGCTTTTTAAAAATTATGAGTAGGAAGTTCAACATCAAATTAGTTTCTTTAACATCCAAATCTACAATAATACCCAACAAAAATAATTGCGGAGTAAACTTTATCTTTTTCTTAAAAATCTTTTGAATATTCCACCAAATCTTAATCCAAAAAGCTTTAATATCTTTACAAGTCTACCAAATATGAAAATAAGTTGCATCTAAATTTCCACATCTCCAACATTTGGGCTGTAATTTCGGATACATGCGGGACAACTTTTGGGGATCCAAATGCCATCTATAAAACATTTTATAAAAATTTTCTCTTAAATTTTGTGCTTAAGTAAATTTTACATTTCCAACCCAAATTGTCTCCCATGTATCCAGTAAATTGGCTCTTGGATATTTTGTGCCCATTTAATCATACAATCTTTAACTAACTCCGTTTCAGAGTCCAATTCTATTAAAGCATTATAAATTCTTTTTATATGAAATCGACTTTGATCTTTAATCTGTTTTACCAAATTCACATCCTCTAAAGTAATACCAACCTTTTTATCTATATTCCACCTCAATAACAATTGATTATAATAAAACCAAGAATATACAATATTTTCTTGCTTCAACTCAGTTAAAGGCTTTAATTGCCAATGCTGCCCAACCAAACTAAGTATTTCCTTATAAGAAATCTTATCCAAATTTACTTACCTAGATACTCCCTCTATCACATGTCCTGGAACCCCCCAAATTGGAATTTTATAATTTAACCTATAGTAATACTTTTTCCAGACACGCAACAAGGCACTTCTCAAAATATGGGTTTTAAAAACCTGATCCACTTTTTTGTCATAAATTAAATATGCGTGCCATCCATATAATAAATCCCATCCCTCAAGAGATAGGATATTCTTATTTGTTAAGTTGAGCCAATCACTAATCAAGGTTAAAGCCACTGCATCATAATACAATTTTAAATTCGGTGCCTTTAATCCTCCTCTTTCCCGTATATCCTGCATAATTTTAAATTTAACTCTTGGCTTTTTCCCTGCCCAAATAAATTTATTAATCCCCTTCTGCCATTCTTCCAAATTGGCATCTTTTTTCAAAATAGGTATCATCTGAAAATGATACCTATTTGATGTTGAACTTCATAACTGCTGCAAGATTATTGGTGGGGCAATATTGGAAGAAAAACTTATTGCCTACTTTGGAAGAATGGATACTTAAAGTGTCTAATTTAGCAGAAATGGCGAATATCTCCGTCTATTTGAAGGATCATTCACAAGAAAAATATATTTTGGTTTGGAGAAGATGGATTGATTATATTCAGAAGAAGTATGAAACTGAAAAGTATTATCTTGCTTTTGAATAGATTTTAGATAATTATTAATAGTATTATTATTTTTGTCTTAATTTGTTAATATTTGTTTTGAGAAGGAGTTAAAGTGTATTATGGTTTTGATTGATAGTTTAGTTGGTTTATGTTAGCTAGACTATGTTTGTTTATTTGTTACCCTGTAATCAGCTCTGGGAAGTGGGGGAGGGGGGGAGGGGATGGGTGGGTTTATATTATAATTTGTAAAACTTTTAATTAAAAAAAAAATTATTAGTAGGACAGAATCCTCTTTCTAAAAGTTAACAATATGTGGCAGTCTTTTTCCAGGCAGATTTTGGAAGCTGTCTCCAGGAGACATCTGCACCAAAAAAATTTAGCAAAATAAATGGTTATGTGCCTTTCAGTTGTTGTTAGCTCTTCGATAGATAGATTTTCCCCATGGCAATTAATAATAATAATAAAGTTGGAAGGAACCTTGGAGGTCATCTAGTCCAACCTCTGCTCAGGCAGGAAACCCTATACCATTTTGGACAAATGGCTGTCCAGTTTCTTCTTAAAAACTTTTAGTGTTGGAGCATTCACCGCTTCTGGAGGCAGGTTGTTCCACTGGTTAATTGTTCTAACTGTCAGGAAGTTTCTCCTTAGTTCTAGATTGCTTCTCTCCTTGATTAGTTTCCATCTGTTGCTTCTTGTCCTGCCTTCAGGCGCTTTGGAAAATAGCTTGACTCCTTCTTTGTGGCAGCCTCTGAGATATTGGAACACTACTATCATGTCCCCCTTCGTCTTCTCTTCATTAAACTAGACATACCCAATTCCAACAACCGTTCCTTATATGTTTTAGCCTCCAGTCCCCAGTTCCTAACTCGTCTGCATTAGTGGTTGAAAAATAACCTGGGTAATTGTCATACTAAAGAGTTACCCAAAATGTCTAACTGGTATTATTCAGTCATATTGCATTGTATCTAAGTACTGTCTTGCTATAGCCTTCATAAGTGTAAAAGCAATATTGTTTCTTGTTTTCCATGCCCAGAGTAATAAACAGTGTAATCTTCTAATTGAAAGTGTCTAATTGCAATACATCTAAATTAGCTTATCACTAAAGTTGTTTCATTTCATCTTTCACAGTGTTATATATTTCCATGTTTATGTTTCTTACTTCCACATTCTTACTGTGATTCTTTTTTGCAATCTTGAGTTTGTTTTTTTCTTGTATGGCAATATCAACAATTAGAAGCCTGAAGGCCTTAATCCAACCATGGCAAAGACACCATTAGTACACCAAACAGTCCACAATACTATGTTGAGTGCAATATGACCTGAAGGGCTCATCATCTGGTGTCAAGAGAATGATTTAGAAGCTAACCAGCTTGTATAATGTGAGATGAATGATGCAATGTTAGGAATGACTCAGCAGGAATCTGTATCCTTTTAAGAGCTTGAGTATAAAACGGAAGGCCTTGCTGGAGTGTTTCTGTCTGGTTCCTTTCCTGCTGTAATTGCTGTGTATTGGAGTTTGCTGAATTATCACTATGTGAATGTATTTTGTTCCTAGTGTATATTTGTAGATAGTGTGTAATATAAACCACATTTAATACAAACCACTGTTTACTGTATTTACTCCTGGGTTACCTCAATGCAATAAGATTGTGCATGCTGACAGCTGGCTATATTTATTTATTAAATGTATATGCTGCCCATCTCACTGTAACACAACTCTGGATGACTATAACATTATTTTATATTTTCCATTCATATGAGTTTTCCTGGTAAAGGCACAGGAGTCATACTATCGCTTTCTCCTACGCGATATGGATTAGTGTTTTTGCCATTGTCACTAAAGTGATCATCTGCCCCTAACATCTTCCTATATCTCTGCTGCTGAATATAAGTATCTGGTTGGTTTAGCTGGGCAGATGGGTTCACTGTCATGTCTTAGAAGATGACCCTGTGGGAATATATACTCTTGGTATTCACCTCATCTCATCTCCCCAGGAACCTTTATTTATTTGATTTTTATCCCCCTTTTATTACTCTAAATAACCCAAGGTGATGTACATACATAATTCTCCTTCCTTCTCCTTTTTTCCCCACATTTTTTTGGGGGGGGAGGGGGGAAGACAACGCTCTTTATTTATTTGTAGATTTGATGTTTTATTGTTTTGTTGCAAGAAGTCTCAACTTATTAACATAAAACATCATCATATAATAAGAATAAATTCAGGGGTAAAAGTAGTGGAAGCAGAAACTTGACACTTAAATTTTATGCAAATGTAGAAGAATTACATTCACCAAATCCAATGGGAATTACTTCCATCCCCAATTATGCAAATAGGTTGAAAACAAATAAAGAAAGGCATGCCTCATTGAACATTATGAGACATCCAAAGTGGAAAAATCAGAGGTTTACTCTATAACAGTGATGGCGAACCTTTTAGAGACTGAGTGCCCAAACTGCAACCCAAAACCCATTTATGCATCGTTGGGTGCTGGGTGGGTGTGGCCATTGGGTGGGTGTGGCCCATTGGGTGGGCGTGGCTGCGGTGGTAATGGCAGACTGGATGGGACTAAAAGGTTTAATCAATCAATTCCAACTTTGCAAGATCTTTTTTTTTCCTGCAAAAAGTTGAAATTGACTGATTGATTGAACCGTTTTTGGGTTTTTTTTGCACACAGCGGCGGAGGCCTAAAGTGAAAAGGTTTTATAAAACCCAGCTGAAGGCCTAGGACTGGGGCAACGGCGCATGTGCCCACAGAGAGGGCTCTGAGTGCCGCCTCTGGCACGCGTGCCATAGGTTCACCACCACTCTCTATAATTATTAGCAGCCTCATAAAATTAGAGAGAACAATAGAATTTCAGAGTGCCTAAATCTAATGAAAATGCTACTAATTTAGGTACTACCAAAGTTAAGATCCTTTCCGGGTTATCCTCTGCCTAATCTCAGCAGCTGTGAGGCCTGGGGAGAGAAAAATCCTTTACAAATTGCTCCCCTCTCAGCTGCCCCCACTATGAATGCCAAAAACTCACCCCATTCCAGAAATGTTCCTGGCTTACTGTATATATTTTTCTTTACTGGTAGAATACTGGTTGGGAAAACATTCCCCTCTAGTAAGATCACTCCCTTCCTTTTGAAACACAAATTGACTTTATTTCGCTACTAGAAATTATTTTATTACTTTATTTCACTACTAGAAGCTAAGAGGTAAACCTTTAAAAGTGTGGGAATGCAACCACCTTATATAGATTTATGCAAATCATGGAATACATGTAACTTGTGGAATCTGGAATAATGAAGGTAGAACTAGAAAGACAATGGCTGGTACAAACAAAGACTATGTGTTTTAGAAAAAAAACTTTAAACAGTAACCTTTAGTGTGTTGCTTCCCCTTAAGTACTACCTTCCTTGGCCTTGCTTTCAATAAGCTTGTCCCAGTTTCAAGTAACTTTCTTTTGCCAATAAAGGAGAATATTTGTAGCTCAAGGCTGAAATATGGGGTCCTTGGGGCTCTCTGAGCTTTTTTTCTTGCAGACATTTAATTTCCTAAACTAGGTAACATCATTAGTGCTGGCCCCAGCTTTCTTTTGATTTCTGTTTTGTGGCTGAATTGACATTTTATTACTTCCCTAAGGGTCCCTAGAAAAGAATGGGGGAGGGTGTTCTGCCTGTTCTGCCTATCCATTTTTCTCCTTCAATAAAGAACCTGAAGCTTTTGACTGTAAACAGAGAGAACATATGTCTGGCAAACTATACAATTTTGAAAATAGACTAGAGTTCTCGAGAAGAGGGAATGGCATTTTTGCATTTATTTGATTAAAAGTGGAGACTCAATAATAGCCTCTTCTTTCTCTTGCTATTTTCTCTCCATTGCCTTCCCATGCTTCAGCTCAGTTTTTGCTTCAATTTCTATTCCTCCCATGAGGCTTTTGCTATTCTATGTCATAGCTAACAAGAAATTCTTCCCTTGAGAAATTGCTGGAGACTTTCTTCTTCTGGAGAAAATGTCCCCTGATTTTAAAAGCAATAGCCCTACCTCTACCCTCCGGGCAAAAGTGCCCAGTCAGTCCCCCCCACCCGTGTTGCCTGCTATTGATGAAAGCTGTTACCATCTGACCCACCTGAATAGGCACCCATATGGAGAAGGCTGGGCCATTTAGACCAGTGTTTCTCAATCTCAGCAAATTAAGACATGTGGGCTTCAGGTTTAAGTTAAAGCTCACCTATCTTAAAGTCGCACTGATTTGGACTAATGGTCGGCTCTACCCTAGAAGTCTTCTGTGCTTCTAAAGTAAATGGAATTAGCAACGTCTCCTGTTGTCAATTCCTCCTAATTCTGTTGAACTGAAGAAGGTAGTTGGATGAGTAGCGAAACGTCTTCAAGCAAATACAAAGTAAGTCCAGTTGCCTCTTGGGACAACCATGATTTGGATGAGTGAGCATCTCCATAGACATCTTCTGTTCGATGCTTAGTGGATAGGATACGGCTTCCCCAGGTGATGAGGCACCACGCCCGGAGCTCCTGGGGGCTCTTTGCCCACGAACCCGAGAAGGCAAAGAAACGCGCTGCGAAGATCGATTGTTTTCCCGCCTCCGAGCTCCTTCGGGCGTCCCATGCAAAGGTGCCGCCCCTGGGCAGACGCAGAAGCATCCCGACCGGGCTGGCGTTCTTTAGGGAGCGAAAATCCCTTCGCTTTGGCGGAGAGGTTCAGTTCCACGACTCGGGAGTCAGGAGCGCCTGAGCGGGCCCCGCCTGCCCCGCCTCCTCAGCAGGCGAGCCAGGCGATGCTACCTATCTGGGTAAGCACCGCCTGTGGCGAGCGGCGCTTTCAGCAGATCGCCGGGAGGCAGCGCGGGGATCTGGCAGAGGCGACGCGAGAGGGGCATGGGCGGCGGCGGAGCTTTTCCGAAGGGCAGGTTCTGACTTAAAGCGAAAGGCGGGGGGCGCCGCGCTAGAAGTGCGGGCTGGCCAGCCGGAGTTTGCATTTAAGCTGCGAGTAGGTGCTGGACGCTCTTGGCGCTGCAGGAAGGGTCTCGCTGGTAGCCGAGCTCCCTTCGGGGCCGGCCGAGGAGCTCAGCGAAGATCGTTGCGGAGACCAGCAATGCCCAGAAGCGCAGAATGTGCGCAGGGCCCGTAATTTCGTCGTGCGCTGGCTGCTGGTTTGCCCAGCTGATGTTGGACTTCACCCCTGTGCGTGGGTTATTTTGCGCTGCTGGAAGATGCCGGGCAGTTTCTATAGAACAAATTGGCCCAGTCTGAAGTGCTCTAGGATGCGTTTTTAAAAGCCACCTTATGTCTTGGGGTGGGGAGCGGGTGGCGGGTGATGGACAGCATAAACAGGTTTCGGTTTGAATGGGAGCTTTCGCTTTGGAAGAGCCTCCTCCAAAGGCGGAGAAGAGTTAAGATGCGCTCTTTGGTTGGCCGCTTTTTAGGAAGCCCTTCTGCATTTACTACAGGGAGGTAGCTTTAACGTGAGTTAGAAGCAGTGGTGCAGTTGGGTAATCATAGGCTCTGAAAAGCTGCCGTCCAGCTTACTTGCTTCCCCCACAAAGAGGTAGGGGAGGAGCCTGGATATTCCCTTGTATTCAGGAGCAAATAGCATCAAAATGCTTCAAGAATATTCACCACCATTTGTAGGAGTATATCAATTCACTATCTGTATTAGAGAGGAGGAGAGAAAATGCAGGGCTAATCGGATGTTTTTTGACGGATCACACACAGTGATTGAAAATATTGACTTACTCTTCGAATATTGACACAAGCCACACAGATCAGATTCCTTCCTAAAGATGTTGCTTCTCTGATTTTTGTTCCCTTTTTTAACATATGGAGAAGACTTGTTATTTCGGTTTGAATTTTGCTCAGGTGGTACCAGCTGATCTAAACTTCAATGACTGAACTTCAGTTTGTTGGCATGGACTTCCCTATGAATTGGTCATTTCTGAGCAAAGCATCCTGGAAAACTGCTGGCCTGTAGAGCCTCTTCCATGGCACTTTGAAGGTGGAGCTCCCTAGCTGGCTTCTTTCTGTTTTGTCCTGTGAAAGGAAGAGAGCCTGATCAATGTTGGGAAACAGCAGCAGCAGCAGCAGCAGGAGTGCCAATAGTACAGACTGCAGACTGGCCTTTGCTGGAGTGGTCTGCCAGCTGCTCTTCATGGTCCTCTTGATCATTGCCATCACCCTTGGAAATCTGGTGAGTCTTCTGGTTTTCTTCTGTGTAAGACCATTCCGGACACCCCAAAGCTACCTAAAAGCCTCTTTGGCCCTTGCTGATTTGGCTGTGGGGCTCATTGTAGTACCTTACTCAGTTTATCAGGAGATGAACACGTTGGCCTATGAGATGGAGCAAGAACGGAGTCCAGCTGGCTGGTCAGTCTGTTTGATCACTGGCCCTATCTTTGCAGGGTGCACTTTTGTCTCAATCAGCACCATATTTCTGCTTTCAGTGGAGAGGACCATCACTGTGCTGAGGCCCTTGCACAGGAAAGCTGTGATTACCAAGCGCAGGATCACTTGGCTCATTCTTGGTTCTTGGATACTGAGTTTCTCCTTGGCGGTGATACCTCTGCTCTCAATTCCAAATATCACCTTTGAGTACAATTCCTGCAGTAAGATGTGTATCTATGGCTTTTCACCAGGCAAGTTGCCAGAGTCCAATTGGAACGTCATGCTCCTGTACCCAATATTTGACTTCACCCTCTTAGGTGGCACTTTTGTTGTCAACACCATCACCTTCGCCACCCTCCGGCAGTACCACAAAATGAGGAAGCAACTGAGGGAAGAGCCACAAGGAACCCACAGGCTCTCTTACTCAGATGTCACTGCTGCCAGGACCATTGGCATCCTGACCTTTGCATTCTCTGTGTCTTTTGCTCCCATTGCTGTATTTGTTGTGGGCACTGTGGTAGGCTATGAATGGTGCCAATTCTCCTTCTATGCTTTCTGGATCCTTGCTTCCAACAGTTGTTGGAATGTGGCTATCTACAGTGTTTGGGACCCCAAGTTCCGGCAGGGGCTGCAGGAAATGTTCTGCAAGCAAATGCTGAAAGCTGATTTCCAGCAGCATTCCAGTCATTCACTGGAGGGGCACCGTTCTTCCCCTGCTTGTGTGATAGTCCTCAAGGAGATGCTCCGTCCAGAGACCAGCTAGTGGCAGAATTGGTACTTGCTGTTTTTAAAGAGATGACTGCTTCAGAGCAGGTCTGGGTATTTTAGCTGGAGATTCTGGATTTTTCAATAACTATTTTCCTCTTCAGTTGTTGCAGCTTAATGGAATGCCTCCCCCCTCCAAAGTATGTACTTTCTTGGTGCCAGATTTTTCTTTCCATTTACTGGATTGGAGCCTGTTGACCTTTGTATTGCAAATGTACAATGAATTTATGAGGATGCATTTCGGAGTGTTGGAAGCACATTGCACTTTTAAAAATTGCTGCTAGATAAATATCTTAATATAGAGCAGCTATTTATTAGTGACTCCTCGTCCATATAAAAATATCCCAGTTTTGATTTAACGGTAGAAAATATAAAAAAGAAGAGAAAGAGAGAGAAAGAAAGAGAAGAAAAAACTTTAAAATACATCACATCATGAATGAATCTCTAGGCATGATGAGGGCTGAAATAACATGTCCTCTGTGTTCTATTTTGCAAAAATAATCCTATGTAATGCCTTACAATGTACAGTTGAAAAACAATGACCTTTTAATTACTGTTAATCTCAAATATGGTTATAATAAGCAGTATATACTCTACAGCATTTATTCAGAAACGTATTTGCACAAAAATGCCTTTTTAAAAATGGTAAAATGGCACTTTTTACAACTGCTGACATTTTATTGACAATGATATTTGCATATTTATTTATATTTTCTGAACTCCAGACTTCTGGTTCTACACTCACAAATCACACGTTTTGCAAGAAATATGACATTAGTCTACAGCAGGGGTCTTCAAACTTGGCAACTTTAAGACTTGTGGACTTCAACTCCCAGAATTCCTCAGCCAGCCAGGAATTCTGGGAGTTGAAGTCCACAAGTCTTAAAGTTGCCAAGTTTGAAGACCCCTGGTCTACAGCAATGTAGAAAAAAATGGTTTCAGTTTTCCCAGCTTCAAGTCCAGAACTTCATTCAAAAGGATTCAAAATGCAGCATGTTTGTAATCAGTGTTCTTATGGGACTTGGTAGTGAAAGAATGGAAAAATGTAAAATCACAATAAGAAATAGGATGGATCACATGCCTTTCATTTGAAATCTGAAACAATTCTCATGCTCTTATTACTACTTTTCCTGTTTTGATTGGGTTGAAATAATTCAACTTTTACTGTATGTGGTTGTGTTGATAACAAACATTGTGAATGTGTTCTATAAGAGTAAATATCCTTGATCAAATATTGCCACAGAAATAATAATCTGTTAAAAGGCACCCAAAGTTTATTTGAAACAGTTGCCAATAGTAATACCTTTTCACAGGAAACACCTTTTAAGTAAAAGCTTTGTACTGATTGTATGGGAAGTAAATAGGCAAACACAACCTGTTATACTTTGAGGTTCAAGGTTTCTTCAGAATTGGAAGTAGCATGGCTTGTGTTGAGTTACCCGACCATCCTTTCAATGTGTACACTTATAAACAGTTTTTCTATAATACATACGCACACAGACACACATACACAAAGGACTGTCAAATATTTTATAACTCCTGAAATTTGCTAGTTTAAAAAAGAAAAGGACAGAAATACAGTACTAACTTGACTTCTCCAGCCCTAAAAAAAAAGTTCATTTAGACTGCAGTCTTATCCAAGTTCTTGGATGTCATGATGTGCATTGATTCATGGAGTAGAAAATCATGTTTGGAAAACAAATGGCTAATGCTCTTTGATACAGGCAAATCATTATTGTGTTTCTCCTTTGCTGAATTTCAGGCATGGCATTCAGCTTTATATTTCTAAAACAGACCACGTCTGAGGAGAGATAGAATGATTTTATGAAGTCACTCATTCCACGGAATCAGAATTGCACACAAATGGTTTTTATTTCAAACTTGAGGAACCAGTTTCTCCTGAACTCAAGTTAGTATCTGAATAAAATGCAGAGAATGCACTCAAAAACAAAGTGTGGGTGACTACAAATTATAAGTAAGTCTTGCAGCTTAACAACTAGCATAAATTTAATGAAGTCAAAATCTGTTTAGGTGAACTCATGGTGTATGGGGAATGGGGAAATAAAGCCAGGCCAAAAGTTAGGGCAACAGCAATTAGTACACTTACACTGCACATTGCCAGTCCTGAAGAAGTCAGTATCAATTCAAACAGTTTTTGCACAAGCAGTGAAGGACACAACAGCTGTCTCTTACTCTTACTTGAGCCCATGAAGTTAAGGAGAAATCAAATGTAGAAATCAGAGGCATTAACAGTGATTTCAAGAAGTTAGTGTTGTTAAAAAAATAAGCTTCATGGTGCCCAAATATTTTTTACAGCTGACTAATAATTCATTCCCACTGGAAAATGAAATTCTTCCTTGCTGGAGCAGGATTTGTTAGCAAAACGCCTCTCTCTGTTCTGAACATAATGTTCATTAACTACAGGAGACATGATTGATGCCTGTGTAAACTTTTCTTGAAATCATCTAAAAATGTGAATTACATGATGCTCCAAGGCTACTTTTTCCCATTGTTCATAGATTAAGTTAGAGAATTTTCCCCTAGCCTTTTGCAGTTTAAATTGACAGTAAACTGATATATTAAGCTATATCTGAACTCTTGAGCATAAATGTTTCATTTATTTTTGCCTTCTTTCATAACAATTCAGAGTGTTTGTACTTAGGCATAGAAAACCTGTGAACATGCTTGATCAAAAACTCCACTGAAATAGTAAATATTGGCTTATATAATATTACATTTATATCCCATTATTTCTCTGGGAACTGAGTGGTCTCATGAAAGTTTCTTTTCATTTTATTCCTGAGAGGTAGGTTGAGCTAAGTGTTTATGACTGGCTTATTTTCATCCAGTTAGTACTCTCTCTGTGTAAATTTTAACCAAAATTTCCTTTATTGTCTTCAACATCTTAATTACTATTCCCATGTCTGTTGCATGTTGCAAATTCTTGAGTTTTTCAGTAACTTTGCAATATGTCCAGATTATCTTATCTCTTGTAATTAAATTAATCTAATACACAGTATTTCATTGCATGTGAAATGATAGCACAAGGCCATTTTATTTGCACATGACCGGAAACAACCCACTCATCCTAGTGCCAATTCTGGAATGCCTATAGTTAGGGATTTCTGAGATTTAACATCCCAATACACTGAAGCCTACCAGGTTAGGAAAGTCCAGGAAATAATAGGCATTTTTCTACAGTATTTTTGCCTTCTGATTTTAGGACATTGTGATCTGAGAGTTGGATCAGTTAAGAACAAGATATTAGCAGATTGCATAATCTGCCAGGCTGGGATGGAAGTAAAATCAGCCTTGGTTAGTATTGGAAGAGTGACCATCTGGAAATACCAGGGCTATTGACTAGATTTTTTCCCCACTGCTGGCAACTTGACTGGACTAATTCCTGCAGTTTTCCTGACAAGGTTTTACAGAAGTGGTTTGCTATTGTCGCCTTCCTAGGCCTGAGAGAAATTAACTGGTCCAAAGTTATCTAACTGACTTTTGTGTCTAAGGTAGAACTAGAACTCAATAGTCCCCTGGTTTTAGCATGATGCCTTAACCACTACACCATATTGGCTCTCTGTTGATTAGACTGGGAAGCTGAAAAACATCATCCTGAAAAAAGTCAATAGCAAATCTCTGCTATATTACTCTTAAAGACTATTTGGAGGCAGCCACAATGAGATCAATCCAAGGAGAATCTTAATCCATGGGAAAAAGAAAAGAAAAAAAAGAAAAAAGAAAGGGGAACTCTTTTATTAAAGGTGATGGGATACTTCTATCCAGATACTCAGACTATATATATGGACAAGTTAAAGCTTTCCATGTAAGAAATGCACACAGAACAAGAATCATTTTCTTCGTAGGTTCAATCTAATGCAGTAACCACTGCATATGAATAATGGGTTCAAAAGTAGTGGCTGTATGTGAGTGGGGGGCTCAGAATTTTGGAAACTAGGCTGAATTTCCTCAGTTGTAGATTTGGCTCCTTGTTATGGGTAATAATAGAACAAGTCCTTGGTTATATCCAAACAAGGGAAGCATGACATTATTGGTATTTTTCAAAGGAGCCATACAAAATAATAACTGCAAAAAGAACATGAAAACTGGGCTCAAGACCAGACCAGGCCTATTGCTGTACTGTTTTGAAAAATGAGGACTATTCCTAAGGTCACATAATTGCCCAATAGGTTATGCTATATATTTAAAATTCTCTCTGTAGCTGTTGACTGCTGTAAAAGGCAACTAATGGCATTAGAAGCCCACAGGGGGAAAAATGCAATGAGGAAATAGAAAACTGCAGAGTTGTAGACTGAATTAAACATTTTGTGAAAAAAATACACAGCAGAGAGTTGTTTTTCTTAAGAAACATGTTGAGTGAATTATCTATTCAAGACCAGTTACTTGAAAGAATGTTTTGTGTTATTATTATTATAGGTCAAATAATTTTCTGTATTATATCCTGGACAAAGAGTTTGACTAAAACATAGTAGTAACCAAATGTTGTGTGATACAATTTCCAGATGTGGGGTTCTTTCACAGGAGACTCATATTCTGATAGTAGATGGTCCAGGAGACTGGTTAGATTTTTGCTTGGAGAAAGAAAAAGGAAGCACAATTGATCTTATTCCTCTCCATGTGTATTTTAGGTACCTCCATAGCATCAAAAACTTGGAAGTGGTCAATATTTGTTTAGGATTGGCCATACAGAGGAGTAACTCCATGCCAATGTTTATGTAAAAGCAACTCCATGCCCTGTTCCAAATTATTTGGTGGTGTATTTATTATGAAATGGTACAGGGTACTGGATGTAATTCTTTTTACTTTGGATACAAGCTTTATTTCTCTGTTCCTCCTTCTCATCCTGAAAAAAAGTCCCATGGGAGGAATTTTCTCATCAGATCTTTATTTTAATTTAATTAAACCCTAGGAAACCAGGCAGACTGCAAATTACTTACTGCTAGAAGGATGACGACACAATCTCTGGGAAAAACTAAACTTAATATCCTACTAAATATAATATGCTACTAAAACTCTTGGGTCTGCAACCTTTAAGTGATTGAAACAGTGCTTCAAGGGACAGCAGTTTTTGAGCCTAGGTACTTCAAATGGACTATCTTACAGAAGACATCCAAAATCCAAGACCCATGACTCCTATAGGATTGAAATTTGACTAATTTGTGGTGAGTTCAGTGCTGCCAGGCTGCCTGCCTTCTTTACAGGAATTGAATTACAGGAACTGTAACATGGTTATAGAAATCGGGTATGTCTAATCTAATGAAAAAAAGGACCTGGGGAGACATGATGGCAGTGTTCCAATATTTGAGGGCTCCTACAAAGACAAACAAGTCAAACTATTTTCCAAAACACCGAAAGGCAAGATGAGAAACAATGGATGGAAACTAACCAAGGAGAGAAGCAACCTAGAACTAAGGAGAAATTTCTTAATGGTAAGAACAAGCACCCAATGGAATACCTTGCCTTCGGAAGTTGTGGGTGCTCCATTACCAGAGGCTTTCAAAAAGAGACTGGACCATCCTATTCTATTCTATTCTATTCTATTCTATTCTATTCTATTCTATTCTATTCTATTCTATTCTATTCTATTCTATTCTATTATCCTATCCTATCCTATCCTATCCTATCCTATCCTATCCTATCCTATCCTATCCTATCCTATCCTTCCTCCAGAGGCTGAGCAGAGCAGCACCTCCTTCCACTGCTGGAGATCAGGCAGACTGGTCCAGCCCTAGCCCTCCAGAGGCTGGGTGACTAGTCACACCTTTGGCTGTTGGAAGGCAGTTAGTTGCAGTCAAGATGGCAGGAAGTCAAGAGTTGTTCCCACTCCCACTGTTTTGTTTTGTGTTTTTGCCCTCGGTCATTTTATTTCTCTATTTAGGTAAGGAAATATTTTTGAAACAATTACCGAATGGATCATAGGTTGTCTAGTTCTCATTGAGACAATCATTGTGATTTCAAAATATTTAAAAGCTCCCCAGCTAACCAGCAACATTTACAACTAGCCACTAGGCCACACCAAATTAAAATCACCTTTAATTTGCTACGCAGGCAAAGAAGGATTAACGACCTGTGGTAACTTGAAGGAAAACACCAATTCTGCTGTGGTTTACAGCAAGACAGTGAAAAGGTCAGATATACATTTTTTTCATTTTCTGCAGTAAACACACATATATATTGATGGGGCAAGAATCCCATCCTACAAGTGGGATTCCCTGCCCCATCAATAAGTACTTTTTATTTTTATAATTTTATTCATTTATAACATAAAATATGAAAATAACAAAAGCAAATAATAAGAGACAACAATAGGGAAATGGAAAACGAAAAAGCGGAGGAGGGGAGGGAAAGAAAGGGCGTTGACTTCCAACTCCCTCTGTTGCTGTAAAATAAGACATTAAGATTGAATCTCAACTTTTTACATTTTTATAGTAGTATGAACTAGCCATTTCTATATCAACAAATCTGTCTAATCAGTGAAACCCAAAATCATAATATCACTTTTCCACCTCAAGCACAAAGTCCAGAAGTAGAAAAGAAAGTACTTATATTCTTTTCTTTTATCAAAACAATCAATTTAGCCATCTCTATTAATTCCATCAGCTTTTGTAACCATTTGTCCATGGGGGGGGGGAATAGAAACATCCTTCCATTTTTGTGCATAGAGCAATCTTGCTGCGGTCACCATATATAAAATCAGAGTTCCAATTTTTTTTCCCAAGTCTTTTTCTATTAGACCTAGAAGGAAAGTTTCTGATTTAATCTTTATGTTCACTTTAAGAATTTTCTGCATTAATATATGAATCCTATTCCAGTATTTCTTTGCTTTATCACATGTCCACCATAAATGATAAAAAGTCATTTACATTTACATTTCCAACATTCACTTGAAATACTTTTATACATTCTAGATAACTTATCTGGTATTAAATACCAGTGATACCCAAAATTCATTGCCCACTGGTTCATAAAGTGTTTTACATGTTCACTTTCCAAATTCAATTTTGATAATATTTTATAGATCTTGGCAATAATATGATCATCACTACCAGATAGAAAAAATTTTCAATTCATTTTTAGCAAAATCAAACCCATCACTTTTTTTATCTAGTTTAAACCTTTCCTTCATTTGTAGGTATGTAAACTAATGGCAGACGTGACTTTCTAATTCTAGTTCTTCCTTCAACTTGAGGGTGGGGTTTCCAAAGTTGAAAGATAATATTTTACCATACGTCCACCAGTGCGTCTTCACCACCATTTTTTTTCTTAAAAAAAGCTTCTTGGGGGGACACCCAAAGAAACAACTTCGTAAAGAACCTTGTTTTATATTTATTCCAAACTCTTAATATGGCATGTCTAATAACATGATTATTAAAATCAACATTTACTTTAACGTTATCTTTCCATAAATACCCAAACCTTAATTCATGGCTTTCCAAATCAAGTAGCCTCTTATTCTGAAGGTTCATCCACTCTTTTAACCAGACCAAACAGCATGCATCAAAGTACAATTTCAAGTCTGGTAAACCCAAATCCCCTCTTTCCTTGGGTTAGATATACATTGAATTATTTCACCCAAACAAACAACATATTATAATGTGATTTATCAAATCCACAACCAATCAGTGGCCCCAAACAATGGTGGGATCTGCTATGAGATGTATCCCTTGCCCACTTTATAATTACAATAAATGAATATGCTAGAGCCCCACACTATCTTATGAGGATTACAGAGAAAATTAAGCTATTGATGAGTTTAACTTTTAAGGCCTAAGAATTATTTATACTCCATGAGTTGGGTGATGAATTATGAAGGTTCTGATGGTTTTCAGTTGCTGAATATTTTTTTGTTCATCTATTTTCTACAATGTATTGATATTTAATGAGCAAAACATGGAGTTTAATCTTGAAATCCATTGTACAAGAACCATTTTCCTGCCAAAAATTGGTGGGTGACTGTTGATAGTCCACAATCTCAAACTGTTCCACTTAGTGGAAGAAAGCATATTCTTTTAGGTAAAGGATTTCTCCGTGTGTCAGCAAACTTAGTATTTTTAAACTTTCCTGTTTACAATTCATAGTATCTGGTGTTTTGAAAATTAAAGTATTTTTTGTTCACAGTGTCATTCAGTTCCGCAAAACCAAACAAAAACCTCAACACTTTTTTTTTCTTCAAGGAAAGTTCTGGAAACTGATCTTGATGATAAAGAAGGGTCTGTTCTTTGTATTTTCCTGATTTGTTTGAGTTTCAGATTATTCACGTCAAGAAATATCTCCTGCCTGAGCCAAATCACAGCATGGTTCTCTCTCTCTCTCTCTCTCTCTCTCTCTCTCTCTCTCTCTCTCTCTCTCTCTCTCTCTCTCTCTCTCTGTGTGTGTGTGTGTGTGTGTGTGTTTTATGTGCTGTGGAGGCTTTTTCATTGAATCTGCATCTGAGATTGTTGGGAAAAAAACCCATCAACTCTTGGGTGCATGATATTATCCGGGTCTTGTTTGGCTCCTTTTTCTTGAGATAGATTTAAAACACAAACACACACACACACACACAAACAAACAAACAAACACACAAACACATAAGCTATGTTAATCACTGTTTAGTTCAATTAATACATAGCTTGTTTTTCTGTTAAAAAAACCTTTTAAAGAGAGCTTAAAAGATTGAAATAAGTCACATACAGATATTAAAGTGATAGCTGAAGATGACAAAACCAATAATAAAAACCCCATTAATTTCATAATTGCAGTCTACAATGGACAGTAAATATATAAGAAGAAAGGTGGGGTTGGGGTCTACAGTACAAAGACAGGCAGCACATGAAACCACGTCCCCTCTGGTCTGTGGGAAAACTTCTCTCCACAGAACCAGTCCCTGATGCCCAAAAGGTTGGGGGCCACTGATCTAGGCAGCCCTGGCAAGTTCATATTTTTCAAATATACAGTTGCTTTTTATTTATTTCATCACTTACTCTGCCTAATCCATCTAGTGTTCGTAACTGCTTATTTTCATCTTTATGTATGCTTGATATTGCTTCATGTTTTTCTTCATTCACACTGCTCCCATGTTTTGTTCCTAATGGGATAAAAATAAAATAAAATAAAAATAAAATAAAAGATTTTTGCCAAGTTTCCAAGAGCATGTGATGTCAGCCCCACTAGGAGAATCTCAAAGTAGGCTTGTTCAATGGCACCATCTAGTGCTCACTAAATAAACTGTAGTTTTACTGCTTTAAATAATTATTTTCAATTTTTAGTAATATTATATTAAGAATACATTTTTAGAGACTCCTGAAAACACTTGGATTTGTTCCCCGAAGCTGTAAAGCTCTACAGATGCTCATATACATTTATTCTCAATGCGTAATAAATATGTATTTGTATCTCGTCTTATGCAAGAAATCTTTCATTTGTATAACTACTAATATTATTTGGTATTATGCTGTACAATTTTTAATCAATTATGTAATGAATAATATAGTCAGTTTCTACAAAAGGTCTAGTTCTAGTATGAAGTGAATAAAGATAAAACCTGGCAATATCTTACAACTGGAACATTTAAAAAAGGAAATGGAAGGCTTGATCTTGGCTGCTCTAAAGCAAGCTGTTCAAATGAATGCAATCAAGGCTAGAACAAAAAAATCATCAAATGATTCAAAGTGCAGATTGTGCAAAGAGGAAGAAGAAACAGTAGATCACACACTCAGCTCATGCAAGAAGATTGCACAAACTGATTCTAAACAATATTACAGTCACCAAAATGATTCACTGGGACATCCATAAAAATTACCATATGCCACTAATAAACATAGAGTTGAAAAAGTAGTCTAAATGAGCCGGTTAAAATATTGTGGAATTTCTGAATACTGTCTGATAATGCCTGGGCCATAACACACCAGATGTAACTGTGATTGAAAAAAAATAAAGTAAACTACAGGAGATAATAGAATAGAAGACATTATCAAAATCCAAAAATCTAAATTGAAAGATTATGGCATAATCTTTCTGTTTATAAAATAATAATTTATTCCACATTTGAGTCATTCTTGTAAAATATTTATGATAGAATCCACCAGTATGAGTTTCAAATATTTACATAATGAAAGCTATGGTAAGACTACCTCATCTGGGCAGGAAAAATCCTAAACCATTGATGGTGGGAGTCAAGGAGACATCTCAAAGAAGACGTGTTCCTTTGGAAGGAACTCTACCTTACCTTCTCAGGCCTGAGAACACCTATCCACACTATCATCATCTTAGTCAGATTCAGCGTTAGCTGAATGGTCCTTCCACAGTCCACCATTATTGCCAAGCAATAGCTTCCAGCAAAAGGCAAAATAACAAAATATCAGTTGGAAGGGACCTTCGGAGGTCTTCTAGTCCAACCCCCTGCTCAGGCAGGAAATTGTATGTCATTTCAGACAAATAGTTGTACAAACTCTTCTTAAACCTGAAGCACCCACAACTTCTGGAGACAAGTTGTTTCACTGATTAATTGTTCTAATTCTCAGGAAATTTCTCCTTAGTTGTAGGTTAGCTCTCTCTCTGATTAGTTTCCATTCTTTGCTTCTTGTCCAGGTACTTTGGAGAATGGTTGATCTGCCCTCTTCTTTGTTGCAGTCCCTTAGATATTGGAACACTGCTATCATGTCATCCCTAGCCCGTCTTTTCATTAAACTAGACATAGCCAATCCTTGCAACTGTTCTTTGTATGTTTTAGCCTCCAGTTCCCTAATCATCTTTGTTGCTCTTCTCTGTACTTTTTATAAAATCTCAACATCTTTTTTACATCGTGGTGACCAAAACTGGATGCAGTATTCCAAGTGTGGCCTTACCAAGGCATTTTAAAGTGGTATTAACACTTCATGTTATCTTCATTATCCCTCTAGCCTAGCACTGTGTTGGCTTTTTGGCAGCTGCAGCGCACTGCTGGCTTATGTTTAAGTGATTGTCCACTAGGACTCCGAGATCCCTCTCATAGTTACTACTATTGAGCAAGGTACTATGTATTCTATATACCTGTGCATTTGGTTTTTCTTGAGATAAAGCTGAGTGCTACAAGCATATTGATGATACCATAATCGACATAAATTTTGAATAACAAAGTAGGTTTTCTTTTTAAAAACTGCATTGGCAGCTAGAGTTTGGACTGGGTGATGCCTAAAATTCTGCTTCCCAATCTCTCTTCTATATGTCAATGGAGAATGAAAATGGAGCTGGGAATAGTGGTGACACTGCTGGAGTGATCTTTTTATGACACCTTCTTCTTCCTATCTCTGTATCTGAAGGCTGGAAGATGTTTGCCATTCATTAACTCTCTAGCTTTGAAATTAAGATGACCCATGGAGCTATTATTGAGCTAAGTAAGACTGTCACAAAACACAATAATAAATTACAGTAAAGGCATTACTTCTTTAACCACAATGCAATATTTGGTCCAGATGTGTATGCATTTTTCCATGGTTTAATCTATCATACATATTAGATGACAGAATATATATTTTCAGGACAGAAAATGCATATCCATGTTTCTTTAAAGCCACCCTGATGTCCTTGAGATAAATCGAAGTGACATATCTTTGAATTCTGAAAACTGTAGTCCTAACACAGGAGAACATAATGTTTCCTAGGCTGGTTTCTAAAGCATCTGAAACATCAGAAGACAAAGATAAGAATCTTATTTGTAACTAGTTCTGGCAGGTTTCTTTCTCTCCCAGTATTATTCACATTTATTTACATACTGTAACATCCTACATTCTACAAAATGAAGCAGGGCACAAGCTAATAGAATTTTGTCAAGAGAATACGATGGTCATAACAAACACTCTTTTCCAACAACCCAAGAGACGGCTCTACACATGGACATCACCAGACGGTCAACATAGAAATCAGATTGACTATGTACTCTGCAGCCAAAGATGGAGAAGCTCTATACAGTCAGTAAAAACAAGACCAGGAGCTGACTGTGGCTCAGATCATGAGCTTCTCGTTGCAAAATTTAGGCTTAAATTGAAAAAAGTAGGGAAAAGCACTAGGCCACTCAGGTATGAACTAAATCATATTCCTGATGAATATACAGTAGAGGTGACAAATAGATTTAAGGAACTGGATCTGATAGACAGAGTGCCTGAAGAACTATGGATGGAAGTTCGCAACATTGTACAAGAGGTAGCAACTAAAACCATCCCAAAGAAAAAGAAATGCAAGAAAGCAAAATGGCTGTCTGAGGAAGCTTTGCAAATAGCTGAGGAAAGAAGGGAAGCGGAAGGCAAGGGAGAAAGAGAAAGATACACCCAATTGAATGCAGAATTCCAGAGAGTAGCTAGAAGAGATAAGAATGCCTTCTTAAATGAACAGTGCAAAGAAATAGAAGAAAACAACAAAATAGGGAGGACCAGAGATCTCTTCAAGAAAATTGGAGATATGAAGGGAATGTTTCATGCAAAGATGGGCATGATAAAGGACCAAAATGGCAGAGACCTAACAGAGGCAGAAGAGATTAAGAAGAGATGGCAAAACTACACAGAAGAACTATACAAGAATGAGCTTAACATCCCAGATAACCACAATGAGATGGTCATTGACCTCGAACCAGACATCCTAGAATGTGAAGTGAAATGGGCCTTAGAAAATCTGAGCAACAACAAAGCTAGTGGAGGTGACAGTATTCCAGCTGAGCTATTCAAAATCTTAAAAGACGATGCAGTAAAAGTGCTACACTCAATTTGCCAGCAAATTAGGAAAACTCAACAATGGCCACAGGATTGGAAAAGGTCAGTTTACATTCCAATTCCAAAGAAAGGCAATGCCAAAGAATGTTCAAACTATCGCACCATTGCACTCATTTCACATGCTAGTAAAGTTATGCTTAAAATCCTACAAGCTAGACTCCAGCAGTATGTAGATCGAGAACTACCAGAAGTACAGGCAGGATTTCGAAGAGGCAGAGGAACTAGAGATCAAATTGCCAACATACGCTGGATCATGGAGAAAGCTAGGGAGTTCCAGAAAAACATCTACTTCTGCTTCATTGACTATGCAAAAGCCTTTGATTGTGTGGATCACAACAAATTGTGGCAAGTTCTTAAAGAGATGGGAGTACCAGACCATCTCATTTGTCTCTTGAGAAACTATATGCGGGTCAAGAAGCAACAGTGAGAACTGGACACGGAACCACTGATTGGTTCAAAATTGGAAAAGGAGTCCGGCAAGGCTGTATACTGTCGCCCTGCCTATTTAACTTATATGCAGAGCACATCATGAGAAAGGCAGAGCTAGATGAATCAAAAGTTGGAATTAAGATTGCCGGGAGAAATATCAACAACCTAAGATATGCAGATGATACCACTCTAATGGCAGAAAGTGAAGAAGAACTAAAGAGCCTCTTGATGCGGGTGAAGAAGGAAAGTGCAAAAGTTGGCTTGAAACTCAACATTAAGAAAACCAAAATCATGGCATCCGGCCCACTCAATTCCTGGCAAATAGATGGGGAAGAAATGGAGGTAGTGACAGATTTTATTTTTCTGGGCTCAAAGATCACCTCAAATGGAGACTGCAGCCAAGAAATTAAAAGACGCCTGCTCCTGGGGAGGAAAGCTATGGCAAATCTAGACAGCATACTAAAAAGCAGAGACATCACCCTGCCAACAAAAGTGCGTATAGTCCAGGCCATGGTTTTCCCAGTTGCAATGTATGGCTGTGAAAGTTGGACCATAAGAAAGGCTGAGCGCCAAAGAATTGAGGCCTTTGAACTATGGTGCTGGAGAAGACTCCTGCGAGTCCCTTGGACTGCAAGGCATTCAAACCGGTCAGTCCTAGAAGAGATCAACCCTGACTGCTCTTTAGAAGGCCAGATCCTGAAGTTGAAACTCAAATACTTTGGCCACCTAATGAGAAGGAAGGACTCACTGGAGAAGGGCCTAATGCTGGGAAAGATTGAGGGCAATAGAAGAAGGGGACGACAGAGAATGAGATGGCTGGATGGAGTCACTGAAGCAGTAGGTGTGAACTTAAATGGACTCCAGAAGATGGTAGAGGACAGGAAGACCTGGAGGAACGTTGTCCATGGGGTCGCGA